CAGGGCAGCGGCCACGGCTTTCACGGCGACCGCGGCGGGTTCCTTGCGGACTACGGCGTTGAATCCGTTGACTGGGTCAGCGGTGTAGTCGACGGTGCGCCTGGTTCCATCAGACTCCAACAGGGAGTAGCTGCCTTGGACCACGTCTCCGTCGCGAGTCTCCTGTTGGCTCTTGGCGTCGCCGGTCAGGCTGTCGTGGACGTCGTAGGCGTAGCTGTACTGGGGATGAGGGTCGTAGTCGGCGTCCACCGTCTTAGCCACGGGGGCCACGGCGACCGCCTTGGCTACGGGGGCCACAGCCAACGGCGCCGCCGCGGCGTACGCCAGAGGAGCAGGCTGCGCGTACGACAGCTGAGCCGTGGGGATCAGGCCGGCGTTGGCGGCGGCCAGGAGGGTGGCGAAAGCGACGAACTGAAATAATCGAGATTACATTGCAGATCTATTCCGATATCGATCGCCGCCGCGACTACCGAACGGGTCGAACGCGTTTCTAGATTTCTCCGCGATCGCCGAAAGGAACAGACGCTTCTCAGGGAAACGAGCGATTAAATTGATTTGGAAATGCGCGAATCAAGTTGGAAAATCTAATCGAGGTACTCGGTAGTTCTAGCGTTACGTGGAGCGCAGTTTTCCCGAGGAAATAGACAAAATTAAGATAATGGAATACCAAGTTATGTAATTGTTATTGCAGGTTTACCTCGTTGAATGTTACCGCGTTAATGTTACTTGTAATATAGAAACGTTTTCGAATCGTCGTTTAATCAAACGAACTATAGAAACTTGATTTGGTGTTAATAAGACAGATCTTAATCTTCGCTTGATCAAGTGACTCGATGCCTGGATAGAGTGTCAGTAATTGCAATTTAGTAGTTTAGACTAATAGCGTTGCTAGGAGCCTGTTAGACGACTAGGACAGTGCCTCTGATAACGGTGGCCCTTGCGGTTAGCTGGCGCCTCGACAGTTGGTACGTTAGATCGTCCTTGGCAAGACCGCCAGGACCCTTTACCCACCTTGAATGCCATTGTTGAGGAGATTTGGTTGGTTTGGATCGACTGAGCGACTGATGATGCTAAACGTTTGCCCGGTCAGGCTTATATACCGTCCACCGGGCCACAGCTGCCACACTCCCCACCAAATTGCTTCGGTTTTTGCCGGACTTTCGAAGTTTGCCGGCAGATCCTATCAGACAACCGCACTTGAACTTGGCCGGTGCTGGTGTATCAGGGCAGCGACGGCCAGACTAAAATTCGAGAGAAACCGTTACGCGTGATCTACTTGAGCTATGGAAAAGATAATGCCATTGATTTCGTCACCTTTTTCTCTCTGTCTCTTTATGTTCACATATATATATATATATATATATATGTTTCTCTGAATGTATTTATTCGCTGCGCACTCTTCATTCCGTGTTCTTCGCGAAGCTTCTCTTGCTCTCCGACATCGAGTCCTGTCGAATTAATCGAATTATTTAATATGCAATTACGGTGAACACCTTGAACACCGATACCCACTAAAAACTCCTAAATTTCACGTAAATATCCAGCTCCATTCAATCTACGGCCTTTTATAAGCACTCTCAGCTTGTTTACATAAGTCAAACCCGTATCGACGATCACCCCGGTCTCTTAACGAGGATCCCAGCGAAATCTAAATTGCTTGTATAATTAAATTAATAGTTGCCACGGATTACGACCGGTGTCTACTTCCTGGTTGCCGGATTTTTGTACTCGTTTATATAAGGTCAAGGCGAGTCGTTTAACGATCGACTATTAACACAGAGAACAATTAAAACGTGCGGTACGAATGAGACGTTTAACAGCAGAAACGACTAGACTCTGTTCAGCGAAGTTGAAACTTTGCTAAAATTTTTCATTTAACACATTTTACTTTTCAACACTTCGCACTCGAGAGCTGACTCGGTCATTTCATTCGGTATAACGAATTACAAACTGTTATGTAGAATATTAAGTACCCTATAATGCATCGATTCGCGAAACATTTCCATAAAATAGCTTTGTTTCTTAATGTACGTGTTCTCTCGTTACTTCGTGTCAAATAGTGTCGTCTATCTCATCGGAAAATGTCGAGCATTTCTAGTGAAAAACTGCCGAGTGCAAAGGGTTAACCAGTTAACCGTGTCCGACGCGATACTAATACTTTCAGCGATGAATTCTTGATTTTTTCACATAAACATGTAATTCTTCTTTGTCTCGCTTTGATCTTTCATTAAAATATACTCTACGCGTACTCGTCCTGCGTTCGACGAGTACACGCTCCATTTTTTTCTGTTATCGCGCGCAGAACCAGAGGTTTTTCCAACTGAATTCCACAGTTAACCCTTTGCACTCGAGAGGTGACTCTCAGTCACCACTCAATTTGATTTGCAAAATTCTAAAGTCTTATATATAATATTAAGCTTTGCGCGATGCATCGATATATGGAATATTGAAATAAAATAACTTTCCAGTGAAAAACTTTCGAGTGCAAAGGGTTAACCGGTTAATCGAGCGATCGATCGAGGGTCACCTGAACGGTGACCTCCTTGGCGTTCGACGTGTTAACAGAAATTCATCAGCAGAGTCTCGACGGATAAAACGAACGATTTAGACGAAGCCGAGATTATCGGGCAACGTTGACGATCGATTTTCGTGATTTCGCCAAATTCCATGGCCGTGGGCCGGCCGGTACCAGCCCGTCACGAAACTTTCGACGCGATACGTATTCGGATCTACCTCGATCGTTGCGTCACATCTAACGTTGCCGGCAAACAGAAGTGGAGCACTTTCATAAAGAAAGAAAGAGAGAGAGAAAGACGAAAAGAAAGAAAGAAAGAAAGGAAAAAAATGATTGGCTGGTCCAGGGCACGCCTCGATCGATCGGTAGCCCCGGGGCCGATCGAAATCCCGGATCCGGACACCTCCGGCATCCATCGCGCGTGTAACTCGCGCTAGATCATCCGATTAGGAGAAATCATTTTCCCATTGGCATAACGCTACTTGCCGTGCAATAGGAAATTACGTCGGCGGTGTCACAGCAGTTCCATAGCAGGATTACACCTGAAAAATCGGTAGCTTACTAATAAATTCGTACATCTGTGTCTCTCGGTTAACACTTAGGCAACCGTCTGGAGAGACACCGTATAACTACAGTCTTTTCCATTAGCTTCGATTGACTTCAATTGTAAAAGCAAGAAAAGTAACGATTTGCAAGTATCCTCAGTTGAAAGCTCTCGCTGAGTGAAAAATGAAAAGCGATACGTTGCTAAGGGAAAGTGGGAGTCTTCGTTCGGTTGGCTGAGCGTTAACTTATTTATCGTATATTAGATATAATAGTATATATAATAGTACACTAGCATACCAAAGAGAATAGTATAGTATACTGAAATGGCAGACTAAAGAGACATTTACCGTCAGTCCTGTTTTTCGGTTTGAACATTCAACTTTTCCCTGCTAATTATACGCAGTCTAGACCACCGGCCACCGCGTCTACGGGCTGGTCTGCGTGAAATCAATGTCACAACTCGAATTTAGGTCTTCCGCACTTGTTGCCTGCTGGCCGTTGGAATTTCAATGCGTCCTATTCCTATTCCTTTGGCCGGAGCGAGCGAACGATGACTTGCTGTCCTGATTCGAACATTATTTTAATCGGCAAACGATCCGTTTTGCCGGGAACCACGCAGCCACGTTCGGCGCAACGTTCGAACAAACATGGCACCGGTCGAAACGAGCCGTTCGCATGTTTCTATTCCAGCGAATGTTGACGATCCCATGGGAAACACTTGTGCACGGTGTACCAGCACGGATCACCGGTCGACGCGGCGAACAGGGGAAAACCTGCGGGATAGAAAAATCGGTATGAATATCGGAGATGAGCGTTAATCGCACGAAAATCCGATCAGCGTTGCGACACCGGCGTACTTACGTCATGACCGCGTAATCTGGACCTCTTCGTATTTTTTCATACCGCGAAAAGAACCAGTTGATTCCGCCAATTATGGAGGAACCGAAGGTCGCCGGACGGATTCTGCGTTAGGGCACCGGACCGCGACGAATTACACGGAGGATAATTTGTTCTGATCGCGCCTGGGCCACCGTAACGAGTCCATTAACGCTAAAACTACCAGACGCGTCGAAATCTCACCCATTACTGATTTCTTTTTAGAATTATTAACACTAGAACTACCGAGCATTTCATTTGATTAATATGCAATTCCTATAAAAATTGTAACAATAGATTATTCTCAGTTTCTTCGGACATTCGTTATAGTACTGAAATGAAACTATTTATTTTCAAAATCATTTCGAATATTCGATGCTTCGAAGATATCGATAACTGCCAAACAAAAATATCGAAACCAGTCGGTAGTTCCAGTGTTAAAAAGGTAACAGACGTGTCTCCGAGAAATGGTTAAAGAAATTCACTTTAGCGATACTCCAGCTGAATTGTTAATCAATTTGGTATTCTCGATATTCTTGGAGTTTCTACAGAGGAATTTCGAAAAGTCAATTGAACTGCTCGGCAGTTTTAGCGTTAACGATTTCATAGAGCGAAACACGTGAAATGATCGAATTGATTTAATATTATATCTTTAGTATGTGCTTGACACTAGGTTCACGGAACGCGTCGATTCGGATTGAATTTTGTAAAGATCACCTGGTAAACGTTCGATTTCGATGAATGCAATAATGCGAACGTCTACTTTCGAGCCTTTAATTTCCAACATCTAAATCAATTACGAATCAATCAAGGAGAATCTACCACTAGAGTTTCTCTACGAATCACATCTTAACCCTTTGCACTCGGTGACTCTGTCATTTGATTCGATACAGCAAAACTATGAAGTTGAATATTTAGTATTTTCAATGAAACTTTGCATTGCTATTAAATCAGTTTCAATGTCTTTATCCCATAAGAGAATGTTCAAATATTTCTAGCGACAAACACGTTCAAGTGCAAAGAGTATAAAAAGAATAACGTACTAAGTATAGAACTAATTATAAAAGTATAACAAAGAGTTAAGTATAGTTAACACTAGATTTACGGACGTTTGTTCTATACTTTATTCTATTGTTCCTAGAAAACTACGTGCTCGTCTATATAAATCACGAGAATCGTAGCTTCAAAACTAGAGTATCGCAATACGTATTCGCGTAATTGCGCGAATCAAAATCGACTTGAACCGTTACTAAGATAATGTTTAAAAAATTCAGTGTCCGTGAAATTGACGGGTTTCGTAAATCTGGCGTTAAAGCAGCCGAGTGGTGGAAAAATAGAGAAGTTCGTTGGAAATAAGGTGGCGATCAGAACGGAGAGCATCGTCTACGGAAAATACGCGCGGTGCCGCGTTTCCCTCGAGCCGGAGCCCGGGGAAGGATTAAGTAACTCGTGGCAAGGACGTGGCCTAGTCCACGGCGACTGTGCTCGCGATGGCCCGACGAGGATCGTCGCTGTTCGAATTGTTCGTGTTGGGCGTGGTCCGATTTCTTGCTCAATTTTGTGCCACTCTGTGACCGCAAATCGGGCGACCGTCGAAGGTACCGTCACCCAGTTACGTCAGCGTGCCCGGTGGGTCCTGCCCGCGCGCGGTATAAAAGCCGAAAACCACCCGACCATGGTACCATTCGCATCACAGACAGACAGATCGACAGATCTACCAATCAAGCAAGCTACAATGGCATTCAAGGTACATAACAATTCCATCGAAAGCGAAACTCGATCGGTAATTCGCGACACACCGTTCTCCGCCGGTGCGGGCAGGTAGCCATTTCGGTACCGAACCGCGAGTACCGTTCTTTCGTCTATCTTATCATTTATCTATCATCTATCATCTTATTAACACTAGAACTACCCGAGCATTCGATACGATTAATATGTATAAAAATTTTAACGATAGATTATCGTCAGTTTCTTTAGACATTCATTATAGTATTCAAATGAAACTATTTATTTCCAAGATCATTTCAATTATCGAATGCTTTTAAGATATTAATAATTGCGAAACATAAAGATCAAAACCAGTCATGTTGACTGGTAGTTCTAGCGTTAACCCCTATTAGTTTAACAGAAATCAGATATCGTTCGTTGCTCGCAGATCAAAGAAACTGTTTCGCTTGTTATCAATGTATCATCTTCAAATGAAATTTCTTAAAATTGCTTAAAGCGGAATGTTCAATTTTGCTGCTTCTCTTTTAAATTGCCGACAGTAGTGTTTTGTTGCTCCGATCCGTGAGCAATGAAGAATATTGATTTTTGTTGAATTAATCTAGATGTCTTCGCGTCTTACTCGTCATTGTCGAGGGGTTAATAACGTTTAACATTCTTTCCGAGCGACGGTTATTTTCACTCTTTTTCTCAGCCCATCCACTCGAAAGTAGAACACACGTCCGCGTGCCTGTTTCGATAATCTCACACGTACGGGTTCGCCGACGAAATGCTACTTTCATCGTGCTGGAATTTTCGTAGAATTTCCATAGAACTCTTGCCTCCGTTTGTTTCCCCTTCGTTGAAGTTGCCATTTAACCAACTCGCTGACGACTGTTCTCTGTACCTGTAACAAACATTCCTATTATTACCAATATCAATAATACCCGTTTTCCATGACACTTCGCCTGACCTTATCAGTCCCTGTAACCTTCCGCTTCTACCGATCCGAACCCACTGGTTCCGAACTGCAAAAGAAATCAGCATTCGAGTCTCATCAGCACCGACGCGCATTGGCAATAGCGCGATTATCTAACAGCAAACGTTTCTCTGTTCGCAGCTTGTCGCTTTCGCCACCCTCCTAGCTTCGATTCGATTGCACAACTCGATACTCCATCATCTTCGTTTTCCATATTCCCTCGGCAAAACTTGCGCTCGACGTAACGCTAGAACTGCCGAGTAACTCGATTAGATTTTCCAACTTGGTTCGCGCATTTCCAAATCAATTTAATCGCTCGTTTCCCTGAGAAGCGTCTGTTCCTTTCGGCGGTCGCGGAGGAATCTAGAAACGCGTTCGACCCGTTCGGTAGTCGCGGCGTCGATCGATATCGGAATAGATCTGCAATGTAATCTCGATTGTTTCAGTTCGTCGCTTTCGCCACCCTCCTGGCCGCCGCTAACGCCGGCCTGATCCCCACGGCTCAGCTGTCGTACGCGCAGCCTGCTCCTCTGGCGTACGCCGCGGCGGCGCCGTTGGCTGTGGCCCCCGTAGCCAAGGCGGTCGCCGTGGCCCCCGTGGCTAAGGCGGTGGACGCCGACTACGACCCTCATCCCCAGTACAGCTACGCCTACGACGTCCACGACAGCCTGACCGGCGACGCCAAGAGCCAACAGGAGTCCCGCGACGGAGACGTTGTCCAAGGAAGCTACTCGCTGATCGAGGCCGACGGAACCAGGCGCACCGTCGACTACACCGCCGACCCCGTCAACGGATTCAACGCGGTAGTCCGCAAGGAGGCTGCCGCCGCTCCCCTGATCGCCGCGCCGGTC